TGAAAGGAGGCTACGGCAAGAGTACTTGGCTGTAAGCAAGTGCTACTTTTCATGAGAAAGGATGACGAAGAGGGCAGAACTGGGGTACATGGAGGCCTATTCCCAGGCCTTGAAGCCTAAGAAAAATCCAACATTTGGCCGGTTAGACTTAAGAAATATTATGGACTCATTTTCACCTTCCCCTTCCCCCCATTTTGGACAGGAATTCCTACAATTGTTATGCTATGCCTGTTAAACCATGAATGCTTGAGCTGTTGGGGGCAAATAGAAACAGGGGAATCTCTTTTCTTTTGAAGGCATGACCTTCCACACAGTTGCAGTGTGGGAGATAGGTCCCAACAGGGAGAATCTTCGAGTGAAAAAAACAGGAGCGTTTGCTCCAGGCTAACTTGATATAATCTTTATTCCTCCCACTAATCCAAAACTTGCTAGGTTGTTTGATTATCCTTCAAGTGCTGTTTGGTCCATAGGTCCATAGCAAAGCTTTTATATTTTTTTCTTTTTTTTGAAATGGGATATTTCTTTTTCCTAAACCAGCATGCGTGGGAGTTTAAGCACACTTCAATCTGTAATAATCTGGCAGTGATTTTCAAGATGAAAATGGTTTTATTTTTCATTTTTCTGCCTTATTGTATTAGCAAGAATTTTCAGGACAGTGTTCAATGATATTGGTGACAGCAGGTGGCTTTTTCTTGTTAATAATTATAATAGTACTGCTTCTAGAGTTTTATTGTTAGCATAAGGTAGGATGTTGGTTTAAGATAAGAATTTTTCCCCTTAAGAATTGTTTGTCAGTTATGAAAGTTAAAGAATCGCCTGCATTGCAGGAGACATAGGTTTAGTCCATGAGTCGGGAAGATCCTCTGGAGAAGGGAATGGCAACCCACTCCAGTATTCTTGCCTGGAAAATCCCTTCAACAGAGGAGTCTGGTGGGCTACAGTCCATGGGATCCCAAAGTTTTGGATAGGACTGAGCAACTAACACTTTTATGGAAGTTGCCTTTTAATTTAATACCTTTATAACATTTTTAGATGACTATGATTTTTCACCTTCTCCCTGTGGATTTAATCTGTGACATTAATAGATTTCCTAACACTAAGTTTTGGAGTTTTTTGGTGGAGAAGACAGGAGAAAACAGAACAGTGGGAAGAGAAGTAGTGATCCAGAGGCATAAGTGAAAAAAATTTTGTGGAGTTAAAATATCTGTGTCAGGAGTTAGTCCTTTCAGCCTAACCAGTAGAATTAGAAATACCTTAATGAGCTGTATTGTAACACTGTCAGCTCAGAATGAACTCAAAAAATGTAATGCTTATCTGACACTAAGCCCCCACCAGTCTCAATCTTTAAGACTTTGTTGGAGAGCTGTGAAGTTAAATGTGTCTTAGATGTGTAAGAGTTACTGCTAAAATTGAAAATATATAGTATTAAAACCATTAGAGAAGGAAATGAAGACAATAAATAGGGGTCAGGAAAAGAGATAAAATGTTAGGAAAAAAAGATGTTTAAGAAAAAAAATTGGTTCAACTAAGTCAGTAATCAGAATTGTTTAGTATTCAACTAAGTCAACTACTGAAATTTTGGGGGTTTTGAGACTGGATTTAAAAACAACAAAATATAGCCGTTAAACTGTTTATAAAAGATAAACCTAAAACATAATTACACAAAATTCGAAAGTAAATGGAAGGAAAAAGGGGGGAAAAAAGCACAGATCATGCAACAAGGGTTACAGTGTTTATAGAAATAACACTAGCAAAAATGAAAACTTTATTCCAGGAATAAAAGAAAAGTTTTAATAAATGGAAAGCTTCACACTAAGGAATACTCAAGTTTTAAAATGCCACTCATCTCCATGTCTATAAATTCAGTACTGTTTGAATCAGAATTTTAGCAGCATTGCTTACTGGACTTAGGGTGATCTGCAGTACACTTGGAAAAAAGAAAGTCTCAGAGCAACCAAGACAGTTTTGAAAAAGAAATAATGAGATAATGGGATTTATTTATTAAATATCAAAAATCATAAAAGTAAAGATTAAAATGGTTCAGTAATTACAAGGGGAAGACAGATGAATGAATCAAAGCACAGTAAATGCACTCCAGAAATTTGTATGTGGAGAGAAAGAAAGATACACACATGCTTGATAAATGACAAAGGTGTCATTGCCAAAAAAAAGGATGCTGCAGTAAACAAAAGATGCTGTGAGGGCATTTATCTAAATGGGGAAAAGTGGTCCCTGCTTCATGACGAAAATAAATTGCATGCCAGTTAAAAACCTAAATGTAAGATGAACAAAGAAAATGTAAAACGTGAAAGAGAGTGACAGGAAATATCTGTAAGACCTGAGCAAGGTGTCCTTAAATAGCATAAATAAAAAACACAAGCTAAAAATGAAAGGATTAAAAGTTCTCTACGATACACTTACCATAAAGTTAGAAGTCAAACCTCATTCACCAGGTACTGATGGATAAGAATGGGAAATTCAGAACAATTTGTACAGTACTCTTTTTTAAAAAAAAACAATGACTCCCTCCCCACTCCAAATTCATGTTGTCTTGTGTGTATTTTATGAACATGGAGCAAAAATGTGGAACAATATGCTNACACTTACCATAAAGTTAGAAGTCAAACCTCATTCACCAGGTACTGATGGATAAGAATGGGAAATTCAGAATAATTTGTACAGTACTCTTTTTTAAAAAAAAACAATGACTCCCTCCCCACTCCAAATTCATGTTGTCTTGTGTGTATTTTATGAACATGGAGCAAAAATGTGGAACAATATGCTGTTCCAGGCTATTACTGTCTCTTACGGAGAGAGTACATTTTAGAGAAGATGAACATAATAAAAAACTATTAAATGATTTGAATAAGTACATAAATGTACAAATAGAGTAGTATTTATGCACGTGTGTATGCATATATATATATATATTTATATAATATTTATGCACTTTTGTGTGTGTGTGTGTATATAGAGCGAGAAAGAAACTTCTTCAGTAATCAAGCCATAGACTGGAAGATATTTAGAGTATGCCCTTTACTGTTTAAGTAATCTAATATAGAAATGGAAAAGTATAGTTAACAGTTGCACATGAGTTGTTCATTCACTAAGTTGTGTCCAACTTTTTGCTACCCCAAGGACTACAGTTATGCCATGCTTTCCTATCCTTCACTACCTCCCAGAGTTTCCTAAAAGTCTTGTCCATTGAGTTGGTGATGCCATCCAACCATCTCATCCTCTGTCACCTCCTCCTCCTCCTGCCCTCAATCTTTCCCAGCATCAGGGTCTTCTCCAATGATCTGGTTCTTCTCATGAGTACCAGATAGCTTTTGTTTATCATACCGTTTGTTATATAATAATACTTTGACACCTTCATTCCTAAAGGTGAGTAATATTAAAAACAGAACTGTAAGAAACCCAGAAACCCTCCATACAACAAGGAACAGTTTTTTTCAGATGTTGTTTGTTATTTCTGTAGTTGACATATACTGTTTTCTATTTGATAGTCACTGTTTTACTTACTGATGCTCAGTTTTTTGACATCCATTGATGGTGTTAAGATCTCATTTCACAGGAAGGGTTATTAATAGCATGATTTATTTGGACATCTTTCCAAATTCTTAAGTGTTTTGTAAAAATTGAGATGTAATTGATAAAGAATATAGTAAATCAATACAAATGTAAAGTGACCTTCAAAGATCTCTGAGGCTTATTTTTTGAAACTTTTATTACATTTTACTTCTGTTTTACAGATATGATGAAGATTTTTTTAAAGTAGCTGTGACAGTTTATCAGAAAAGATATGTGGGACTACAAATAGAAAAGAAGTCCTTTGGACAGAGTTATAAATTGCTTTCAGCTGACTCTGTTCAGTTTTGAGAATATTTGAACATTTCCATGTTCATTAATGCAAACTTAAATTTTCATCTAATAACAGGACAGTATAAGGGACAATTGATTTAAAAGAAATCAAATAACATTTGCTTTTCTATTTTCTTTTGCATCAATTCACTTGATAAACAATGGTTAAGATTCTGACTCATGCAAATACTATAATAAATTCTGGAGAGACATGGAAGTTATAATTGTCTAAGGGAGATGAAATATGTAATTACAATGCAGTGGAAAATGTGATATAAATGTAGTGAAATTTTCTTATGAAATTATAAAGATTAAAATTAACCAGAAAAGGGGTGTATCTTTTCCAAATTCTTAAGTGTTTTGTAAAAATTGAGATGTAATTGATAAAGAATATAGTAAATCAATACAAATGTAAAGTGACCTTCAAAGATCTCTGAGGCTTATTTTTTGAAACTTTTATTACATTTTACTTCTGTTTTACAGATATGATGAAGATTTTTTTAAAGTAGCTGTGACAGTTTATCAGAAAAGATATGTGGGACTACAAATAGAAAAGAAGTCCTTTGGACAGAGTTACAAATTGCTTTCAGCTGACTCTGTTGTTTTGAGAATATTTGAACATTTCCATGTTCATTAATGCAAACGTAAACTTTCATCTAATAACAGGACAGTATAAGGGACAATTGATTTAAAAGAAATCAAATAACATTTGCTTTTCTGTTTTCTTTTGCATCAATTCACTTGATAAACAATGGTTAAGATTCTGACTCATGCAAATACTGTAATAAATTCTGGAGAGACATGGAAGTTATAATTGTCTAAGGGAGATGAAATATGTAATTACAATGCAGTGGAAAATGTGATATAAATGTAGTGAAATTTTCTTATGAAATTATAAAGATTAAAATTAACCAGAAAAGGGGTGTATCCCCATGTTTGGGGAATTTTAGATAAAGCATTACAAAGGAACCCATGTGAACAGATTTGTAGGGTTATTAGGAATTTTCTACAATGACAGAGGGGAAAGGGAATTTCCATTATGTTCAGATGTTCTGATTTATAAAGCAATTTCACATGTTTCAGAAACTATATCTTGTTAGACATTGTTAGGTGTATAGTCCATAGAGGATAATTTTGGAAAGATGAACAGTCTACTTCCTGAAAAGCCATGTATGCAATTGTAAGAAAGTTATTTTCAACCTTTTTCCAACTTTTAAATCATTAAATGAATAATGTTGTCTGAACAAGATATGTTATTAAGTAGGTATCTTTTGGTCACT